TCCAAGTCACCATCCGCCCCCCAAATCTTTGAACTGCGCTAAACATGCCATAGACTGAACAGTCATATCCACTTTTACTCTTATTTTTTATTTATTTATTTATTTTTAGTAATGATGTGATGTGTGGAGTTGAAGATATGCTATTCCTTGTGTCATTTGAATTGCCCCTTGGGGATGAATAAAGTGATTTGAATTGAATTGAATTGAAATCCTCTGTGACTATGTCTGACCTCAGACGACCATACGCCCTGGAGGGACTCGTTCTGTATGTCTACAACATCAGGGACACTTCGGGAAATAAAACGTACTGGCTTGATACGACATATACCTGGTTCTGGCAGGTTTTGCTATGATATCATGATGACTAGCGTGCAAGAAATGAGTTTTGACGCTTCCCACTGCCGGACTCTTTTCACAAAGTACTTTTGGGCCGAACCACGTTAACAAAGAAGTGAAAAAAACAGCACATTGCTTTATCTGCTTCCATAAAACATGAATATATCGCAATGTTTCGAGCAAACAAGATCTTCATCAGGCAAACAATTATCAAGGGATTTTACATTCACAAAGTAAACACTCACACTTGATAAAAGACATGGACAATCAACAAAATAAACAATTATCCAATAAGCAATAAGAAGAAAAACAATTGAACCACATTATCAACATGAGTATCAATGCAAGTACTAGTGGCTGTTTACCACAGCTTCACCATTTATGTTTTATTCACACTGGACTTGCCACCAAAACTTTACACACAAACAGAAAAGCACCTGCAAAAGATGTGAAGAATGTGAGCTGCTCTCCCAAGACAATTCATTCAGATATGGAAAATGAATAATAAGTGTGACCAGGAGTCATACGTCATGAGTATCGGTTCACTTTTGCGATTATACCAACAATTTAATCTGCTCGGATGGGTATCCGCTTGTAATGCCTAAAAACACATCATGCATATGAACATAATGCGTGCAAAAAAACATTTGTTTAGGGTATCGGCTAAAAGTATGCTAAGCTAATATGCTGAGCAGTTAGCTTGCAAAAAAATAAACACACACATTAAAAAAAAGAGGGGTTAGGTGATTTTTTTTCTTCCAATTTACCAACACCTGACTCTTAAACCAGTTCTTTTTAGTGAATCAAAAACATCCAGTGGAAGCAGTATATTCTCAATCACAAAAAATTTACTCTAGAGAGCCAGTTCTTTTAATTAATCATTCAAAAAGACTTCGGACTTGTAGTTTGAACCTGCTCACTGAATTAATTCACTGAATCTGTCAGAGAAATTACTTAATCAACAAAGTTATAATTACCAATCTGATTATCGATTAATCATGTCTACCCGCTGTGCACGGAAAACATCACTTTACAGTTTTACAAGTTATCCAAAACTTGAGAACGATTTATATTATGTCCATATATATTATGCCCCCGATTAACCGATTAAAAAAGCACAATTTTATCAAATGTGGCTTTTTTTAATCCGATTAATCGAGGACATAATCGATAGATTGATTATCAAAATAGCATATACAAATATAGGCTAATAATCATTTTTTACAAACTTATATTGAAGCGGTACTTTGATGTCATAAACCGATCGGTCAGCGCATCACCCCTTCAAGTCAAACACACCTATTCTTAATTTCTTAGTAGTCATTAAAGGTTCTTGCGAATGGAATCACTTTGTGGTCCTAGACAGACTGGATTGAGTGAATGGACTGAATTGTTCATGACACAGGGGTTCACATGAGCAAAGTGGGTGCAGTCCGCATTCACACCAACCAAACTCTGCCGGCAAACGGATTCCAGTCAGAACGCGGTATTCTGGGCTTTGAAACCCTAAGCAGATCTTTGTGAAGTCACTGAGATACTGAACTAGGATCATTCTGCTTGTACTTCAATCCCTTCTGCTATTTACTCAGTTTTATTAAGCCTGGTTCAAACAATTCCCCTCCTTCTGAACAGGCTCAATGCACTTCAGTACTCGAGCTCAAAACTCATTTCTTATAAAACGCCAGTTATCGTGATGGCCAATTCCACTAAAATAGACAGTTTGATTCACCCAAAATAGCTCTGTATACGTCAAAATCAACACACTAAATCAGAACAAACAGCTCAATATGCACAGCCCATATCTGAGAGAATTCTTGAATCCATGCAAGTTCTCAGCAACAAAGATGGAGAAAATCGCAGCGATATTATAAACTATTTCAGGATCCGCACCGAGGCAGCAGCCAAAAAGCCAGAGGGCAGGCATTTGCTGTTACACAATCACCTGTGATGCACTGGTGGGCAGCAGGCACCGAGGATCCCAAAGCAATTTATAGCAACATAATGCTGCCATTTAAACTAAAGAGATTGTTTCTGGCAAAGCAGCAGCATCAGAGCCTTCACCTCGAATAGACTTTTTATAAAGAGACAAGACAAGAGAGCTTTGTTTCTTTGTGCCGTCCCTGGACGTAAGGATCAAATAGCAGAGAGAACAAAGGGAGGACATTGATCACGGTGTGGGCACAAAAGCCCAATTTAACTTAAACATGTTCAGTCACTGAAAGATCTTTAGCTCTTAATGAAAGGCATTAATATAGTGTATGTGGCTGTTGTTAACTACAGATGCAGCTCCGTGTGTATCAGAGGGCACCTGCAGGGCTTTCTGGAAGCGGTTTGGAAAGATGAATGAATTCGGGAATTAAGTTTACTTAAACCTTTGTACAATTTGACACTCCAAACAGCATTTTTTCACTGCTGAAATCTTCCTGCGTTATGTTGATCAGTGTGGCCCTCTGCAGATCACTATACTTTACTACAACATTACAAAGGTAACAGATGGCTGGATTTGCTTTGAAAAAATGAACCAGATTTCCCTGAGGATTAAAAAGTGATCAGTTGACTTAACTTAAAAAAAGTTAGGAAACCCTTCGCCTTAAAATTATTAAGTACAAAAACTGAATGCGTAATTGAACAAATTTAGTCATGTGGAATTGTCAAGTTCCATTCTTACGTTAATACTTAATCATTTTAAGGTTTCCTCTTCTTATTTTTTTAAGTTAAGCCAACTGATCACTTTTTACAGTGTATGTGTTTTTAATCTAAATTCTCTATTCTAAAATATCTCTATTTTACTACGTTTTCCAAAAACAAATATACATTACCGTTCAAAACCTTGGGTCAGTAAATCTTTTTTGTAATTAATACATTTATTCAGCAAGAATGCATTAAATTGATCAAGTGACAGTATAGGACTTTTTTCTTTTGTTACAAAAGATTTATATTTCAAATGTTTGTTTTTCTCAACAAAAATATTAAAGGGACAATGTGTAGGAATTTCTCCCATCTAGCGGTGAAATTGTATTTTGCATTTAAACGAATTGTGCTCTCCAGCGCCTAGCTTTTTCAAATGCGTGTTGTATCTACGGTAGCCGTTATGTACCAAAAAGCTATGGCAGGATGTCTTCTAATAGCACTTCGTCGAGTGTTCCTTCGGGTGAACAGGTTTGTTATTTCAAACAAACTGCAACTTGACACAACGAACAAACGAAACCCGTGCCATGTATATAAAGATAATAAATTCTTCGTCTACAAGGATAAGTCAGATAATTGGCAGAGGTATTTGTACACCATTGAGGACATATTTATGAATAAAAATATTGATTTTAGATAATAAAATACCTACAAAAGTACACTGTCCCTTTAAGTGGCACAAATACAAAGTTCTTTCATGAAACCTCTAGTTGACGCAGGCTGATCGATCGATCCTTAACTCAATCAGTTTGCAATCACATCTTTCTCTATAGGAAAATTCCTATATTCTGATTGGTTCCTGCTGTATCAGTAGCCAATGAGCTCGCTGCTCAACCTTTAAAAACACTTGGTCAGCATTTGCTGTAGCAGTTTGCAGCACGCTTCAGAAACCCTCCGCCTTCCCCAGCTCCACCTGTATAGATCTTCCATGGGTAATTAATGTATGCTATATTGTACAGCAGCAGCATGTCAGACTTGCTCACAGCAGTGTGTCGTGTGTGTATTTGCAATAGCAAGTCCCGTACTTTCTCTGCAGCAGCAATACTCAACAGTAACAGCAATAACATCTAAATAATTTATTCCGCCAATACCAAACAAACATATTAACATTGTTGTATCCATTACAATGCCAAACACTCCACGAGTTGTGACGACAGAACTGTTTTAACATTGATAATAAGAAGACATTTTTCTTGAGCAGCAAATCAGCATATTAGAATGATTTCTGATGGTCATGTGACACTGTAGACTGGAGTAATGATGCTGAAAATTCAGCTTTGATTCACAGGAATTAATTTAATTTTTAAATATATTAAAATAGAAAACAGTTATTTTACATTGTAAAAATATTTTACAATATTGCTGTTTACTGGATTTTTATCAAATAAATGCAGCATTGGTGGGCATAAGAAATTTCTTTCAAAAACACTGTATACCATTAATAAACTTTTGAACGGTATTGTATATTAATTTTTTGTTGTTGTTCTTTGTTGTAAATACATTTGATTTCCTTTAGAAATTGTAAAATAAAGAATGCATTTTTAAATATTTTCACTTTTGAAATGCCATTTGTTACACCACAAAGCAAGCAAGAAAATGAACCAGCGAAGTCAAAAAAAGTGACTCAAATTATTTAAAAAAAAGGAAGACGACCAACAATATACATACCAATATACAATTTCCATGATGTATACAATATACATATTGGAAATACATTTTCCATTAGACATTAATGTGAAGTGACCTAAATAAATACATTTTTTGTTTTTGATTATTTTGATACATGATTATTTTTCCTTGCCATATCAGCATTAAATGCTAAATAAATAATATACAATTCTTTTTTTTTTTTACTAAAACCTTGTTTGTTGGTTAAAAAAAGTTTATGGACATGTTTCACACATAGAAATTAATTTAATTACATATTGGTTCCTATTTAAGAACAAAATGTTAAGAAATAATCAGGCTGAACTTACCCTCAGGTGGTTCTTCACGCAGGTAAGGTGGAAGTTCTTCATTATTAGGGTCAGCAGGTGCTTCCTCGATCACCTCAGTCTCTGCACTCGGGCCCTTGAATTAACAAGATTATACCGTTAATGCTGTTATACAGAAATACAAACAAACAATGTAAACAACAACAGAATCCTTCATGTTATGCAGTACATTTTCATGTTTCCATCAAGTATATAAATCAAGATACAATGCAATTTCCACAATTATAATTCCATGTGAACTTTGTTACATTGAGGCAAGTTGCTAAATAAGGAAAAAATTACATCACTTAGCAGTAACGTTAAGTCAATTCATCATTTCAGTAGGAAAACAGCAGTACAATCATAAGTAAGTTGATTTGATGATATCTATGATGCTTTGTAGTATTATTTTGTTTATTTCTGAAAGTCTGCTATACACATTTAAATAAATACTTCCTTAAATTATAAAGTATATTTATATCTGAAAAAGTATAGAGTGCAAAGGTACTGCATGATATGAATGACCCAATTATAACAACAATTATCATTATCATCTTCGTCGTCATCATCATCATCATCTCTTCCCTGACAACCCTTTTACACCCTCTTACACAGCTAAAATCATAAACTTTATGGTTGCAAAATTAAATAAGTGATACTGCATAGCTTATACAGTGGTTTTTGCATTATCATGCTGATGAAATATTATACCCTATTTAGGCATCGACTCATTGTCAGCTGCCCCGTTTATCTATTATCAGAGCAAGATAACACAACATTTATCCGACTAAATCACATTTAGTGACAGAGTAACAAAATAGCCCGCATGCAAATACTTCTGATTTAAAAAAATTCAACAGTTTGTGCTCGTGCAGAATCAGGTAAGAACAGGTTTGGCTTTAATACTGTAACGCAAAACAAACAAAATCCTCCACTCACCTTCATAACTGAGGCTATTAATACAGGTTTAGAAAGGACGTCTCTGCACTTCAATATTGATGGAGACGCACAAGACTATAAAATGGGAATAGCGCTTAATACGAAATAAATACAGCGTTTGCAATGTTTTTCAATGCAAGCGGAAGTGACGTTGGGGATGTTTACGGAATTTGGGGATGCTGTTGAGCTGTCGGTCGATAGGGGGCAGCAGCAGCGCGTTGATTATACTTAATGACTGAAGAGCTGCGGTTGGTTACTGTGCTATTTTGACTGAATATACCACAGTAAATGTTTGATTAGGGACTAAAACAACATTTTTATGCCTGATTTTACTTTCATAGGTAAGTGTACGATATAGCCTATGTGTGCCATATTTTACCTTTTTGGGGCCTTTTTCTGTTTGGATGATTACAAAATTGCAAAAACAGAGCAGATACAATTTAACTTAATTTACATGTGAAAAACTTTAATCGTTTTTAAGGCTTCCTTTTTGTGGTTTTGTCAAATTTATCCAGGCCACAACCACCATACAGTATATGCTATAGTTAGCATAGTATAGCACATTTGTTCAGACCCAAATTAGTTTTTGTTTTGTTTTTCCCATGACGCATATTAGCTACACTGCTTTATTTATGTTACCCTACATAAAAATGTTAAGAACGTGTGGGATTGTGGGGATTCAAAGCGTAGGATTACGCTGCCAGTAATGACAGGTGAGAAACCTTCCACTCTCAGTCATGACAAACATCTCTTGCATGCTGCTCAATAATATATCACCTCATCAAAAAGAAGACGAGAGGTGAAACGGGGGTCGATTTGAGTTTTATTGACCGGAAGTGAAATTGATGTGATTCTCCATCTAGGCCAAAGTTCACCGGGCAAGGTATTAATCGTTGCTATTAAAACAGTGTTCATAAATATTGTGGAAAGAGGGCATAAATGGACTTGACATGTTTAGCAAATACTAAATTATAATGTTACTCTTACCATATGGCGTATGATAATATAATACCAGTCTTTCAAAAAGAAAACCTTGTTTGCTTATTTCTTAATGCTGATTTAAACAAATAAATAATCAATATAATTTCAAGAGCAACAAATACTCCAAATATGTATTTATTTATTTATTTAAATTCATTCTGACACATAATTTTTCTTTTCAAGTATGCATGTTCTTTGTAAGCCATGCATTAAAGTAGCTAAATCCTAATAATTCATTTATGATGTCAACAGTAAAGTCCTTTTCCAGTTTTAATGCCATTTTTTTGCAAGGCAATGTAAAAAACACAAACGTCTTCCCTCTCGTCTGAACGCAGCTATGAACTGAGAAACTCAGCTTAACCTGTTAAAGGCTGTATTTATATAATATACCGCTGTAATTAAAAGGTCCTGTTAGGACAGTGGCTTCAGAAAGTGTAAAAGTAAGAATGGTTTGGCCCTTTAAACCCCCCAGTGAAACCATATGTTTTACAGAAAGGCAATCTAGAAGAGTGAGGTGATAGGTCAGGGTTTAACTTTAGTCACGCAAGGCATTTTGTGATACTGGCGTAATTGAGTATAATGGCCCTCCTATTTAATCAGCCATGACTTTGTGAAAAATCAATTATTTAAGAGAATTTATTAATCATTTAGAAAGACTCAGACGAGAGGATGTAAAAACAAATTATGTAATGCAACAAGAATTATATATACATATATATATATATATTAGTTTAAGGCATTTAGAACTGACTCGATATTAGATTTCTGTTATATTAGCTAGTGAACTTTCACCCTGTGGATTCTGCACGTCAGATCAAAGCGCAAATGAGATTTAGTCCTTCCAAAAATACCAGTACGTTTATAGTAAGACAACACGTTTCTAGTTGTAAGTGGATTATGTCAGTTTAGCTGTGAGGAGAATGCAGCGCGGCACTTTCGCTTCGGTTATTGTGGCTATTTTCAGATGATCAACATTTTGGACAAAGACTGGACTTCAGTATGGGTCAAATTCAAAGTGATAAAGATAAAGAAGTGGAGCTATCAGATATCCAGCCTCTTTATACCAGATTCATGAGAGAGTGCCCAAGTGGAGCCCTGCATCTTCATGAATTCCGCAAGATCTTCGGAGTTCAGAGCACATCGGAAGATGAGGCTTTGTACATGGAAACGCTCTTCAAATCTTTCGACACAAACAGGGTAAGCGAAAGAGTTTAAAAGGTCAAGTATTTTTAACATTATTTAAAACTTTTAAAATGCAAGTGCACATTTACTTAAAAATTGAATAGTGATTGCAAAGCAGCAATTTATATGCATAAGCTGTGATTATGTGCATATGTGATCAGCTCATCAGCCGAGAATTTGTGTCCATTTGCAGGATGATGTTATAGACTTTATGGAATTTGTAGCAGCTGTCCACCTGGTTCTGAGAGGAAACCTAGAGGACAGATTGAAATGGTCTTTTAAAGTCTATGATAGAGATGACAGTGGAAAGTTGGACAAACAAGAGGTCAAACGTATTATAAGGGTGAGAGTGGTCTTGATTCTCACCATTGTCATCTTAGTATTTCCTTGCCTAAAATGCGTCTCGCTTTTTCCTTCTAGATCATTTGTCAACTTAAGAAAAACAACATCAACATGACACCTAGTGAAATTTGTGACAGGATATTCGATCTTTTGGATGAAAACAAAGATGGTAAGTGGATTTTTTCCTTCCTCAAATAAATATTTAAAGATCCCCTGTGGTTAAAATCAAGTTTTTAAATGTTGGTTATATGTCTATGGTGTTTTAAAATGCTTTAAGAAATAGTTCACCCAAAAATAAAAATTGTGTCATTACTTACTCACCCTCAAGTTGTTCCAAACCTGTATGAGTTTCTTTCTTCTGTTGATGTGCCCCATTGACTTCCATATTAGGGAAAAAAATACTATGGAAGTCAATGGGGTCCATCAACTGTTTGGTTACCAACATTCTTCAAAATATCTTCTTTTAAGTTCAACAGAAGAAAGAAATTCGTACAGATTTGGAACAACATGAGAGTGAAGCTGGTGTGAGTGATTGGAGGCGGGACTAATTTGCATATTCATGTGTCCATGTAAAGTGTAGAGTTCCATTCAAGCTATTTTAAGTAACAAAGAAATTATTTACTCAGGAAAAAACTAAGTAATTTTGATTATCAAAGATGATTTGACTGCAGGGGGACTTTTAAGACTAAAAATGTACTATCTTGTGGTAGACAGATGAACATGTTGCCAAAAGTATGTAAACATTCAAACAGCACACCTAAAAACTTGTTCAGCATTCTATTTCAAGCCATTAATTTACGCAAAGAAAATATTTTCCTTATATATGAAAGATCAATATATTACATTATTTAATGTATATTGAAAATGAACAGAATAATATATTGTCTTAATATATTACAATAATAATACACAAGGTATTGCCACTTTTAATATATTGAAAAATATGTGACAATATGTTTGCTTATAAATCATATTATATGTAATTTTATATTCAATAATACACTTACATGTCATAAAATATGGTACTGTGTGTACATAAGTATATTTGAACATATATATATATATATATATATATATATATATATATTCACATTTAAATGGGAACATGTATGTGCAAATATATGTACACAATTATGAGAAAAATATATATTGATATATATATATATATATGTGTGTATATATATATATATATATATATATATATACATATAATATCTAATTCGCCCACCATGTTGCCATGATTTTAACAAGACATCCAATTGTCCAAATATTCAAAAAAATGTATATTTGTTTTCAGTAAATACATATTTTCATATATCAAATGTGTAACTGTGCAAACAATAAAGTGAGATAAAATATCTTTATATGAACCCATATGTTAACTCATAAAAGTGAAATCAATTGAATGTTTTAATCAAATGTATAGCTGTTTATAGCAGATGTAGTGCAGTTTTTGTCTTAATTGGATATTTTTTAGATTTATATACATATTATATATGTATTATATGGATATATATGAATCCATACATGGTCAATGCAAATATTGCAGTATATTGAAAAGCACTAGTTTCCCAAGTGGAAATGTATTATGCAATACATATCACATAATTTGTATTTTGTAAGGGTAGGCATTCACTTTTCTGGGAAGGCTTTCCACTAGATGTTGTAACATGTCTGTTGCGATTTGCTTCCATTCAAGAACATCAGTGAAGTCAGGGACTAATGTTGGGTGTTGGGGTCTGGCTCACAGTCAGCATTCCAGTTAATCTCAAAGGTGTTTATTGGGATTCAGGTCTGGGCTTTGCGAAGGCCTGTCAAGGTCTTCCAAACTTCCAAACTGACCAAACTCAGTAAATAATTTCCCTACGGGCATTGCTTCAAGCAAAAGTGCATTGTGATGCTAGAATAGAAAGGACCTTCCCCAAACTGACGGCATAATGTTGTCATTGTATATCACTGTATACATTAAGATTTTTTATTAAAGTTTCAATCAGATTGTTGCTTATCAAACCAATAACCTTCAACCTTGTTATCTTCAACTATGAGTACTTTTATGTCCTGGGGGTCGTTTTTACTTACTTTGTCCTTTTTGTTAAATGAAGATTTTACAATGGTCTGGGAAATGTAATTATGAAATCATTATATATAGGATATGCATATAGAAAAAATTGCTGTATACTTCAAGTAACACATTGAATTAAAAGTGAAATTGTAAATAGTAATGGTACAAAAAGTTGTTTCTTGTAAAACATTTATTTACGACTTTGAAAAATCATTTTTTACACACTATATATATCATTTCATATATCATATATACATATCATATATGTGTCGTTTCCACAGAATACAGAATACACACAATAGGCCTACATCATTTGAGTTGTGATGGAAATTATATTTGTTGCTTGAGGAAAATGTCTGAAATCTATTTGGACACTGATGCAACTTGACAAATTAAACTCATGAGTGTGTGAAAATTATGTTTACTTTCTAAAGATCCACAGGAGCACATGGATGAATAAACAACCTTATATAATAATCCCGTGTGTGGCAGCCTAAATATGTGTAGGCTTAGACTGTTGCTAAAATAAGCCTGTCAGTGGAGGGAGCGGATGATGAAAGAATGAATTAAAAACAGTCTTCCTCTTCATCCACAGGTCACATATCCCTATCAGAGTTCATGGAAGGGGCACAAAAAGATGCCTGGATTATGGACCTCCTAAAACTGGACACTAATGCACGGGGTTGGTTCAGGGAAAAATGGGGGAAAGATTCATGAGTTTTCATCCACAATCTAAGGTCAAGGCCCACGGGCCAAAACCTGCTTGCCCTTTTACAATCTTTCAAATGTTGAGGTCTGCAAATGAGAGAGACCTGGTATAGAGGTCAGAAAATATTTGCCTTCTGTCACGAGCGAATACGTGCCTCATCATACATTGATCACATTGATGTTCAAACAGTCTGCATGTGTAAAAGCGGGTTCTGTCACATTCTCTTCTGAGTGTGGTGATGATGCTGGTATTCTTATGAAGGATGGATATAATTACCCAAAAATTAGTTTAAGGAGCATGAATCGTGTGTTCATAGATGGAACTATAATAACTAGGTTCCATAGTCAATTTAAACCAATTAATTTTTTATGTAAAAAAAACATATATACATTATTGGCACCACTGGTAAATATGATCAAAGATGGCTGTAAAAATAAATCTGCATTGTTTTACCCATTATAAGCACCCATTATAAGATTTCTAGCAGAGGCCGTCAAGTTTAGATTTTTTATCTGTTGGTATTTGCTAGGATCCATGATGCCATGTATCTGAACAAGATGTCCTGGACCTCCAGCAAAAAAATAGACCCACAGCATTAAAGATCCAGCAGTATATTTAACCATGGGCACGGGGTACTTTTTATCCCTGTGTAACCAAAACCCATCTGGTGGGTTTGCTGCCAAAAAAGCTCTTTTTTTAGTTTCATCTGACCAGTCCCTTTTGAAGTTCCAGTCATTTCTGACAACTGAATATGCTGGAGTTTGTTTTTGGATGAGCGAGGAGAATTTTTCTTGAAACCCTCCCAAACAATATGTGGTGATGTAGGGGTTGTTAGATTTTTTTTTCTGGGACTTTCTGATCCCAAGACTCAAGTAATCTCTGCAATTCTCCATCTGTGATCCTTGGAGAGTCTTTGGCCACTCAAACTCTCCTCCTCACCATGCATTAAGACAATATAGACACACGTCCTCTTCCTGGCAGATTCGTAACATCTTTAATTGATTGGACCTTAATTATTGCCCTGATGGTGGAAATGGGAATTTTCACTGCTTTAGCTATTTTCTTACAGCCACTTTCTATTTTGTGAAGCTCAACAATCTTTTGCTGCACACCAGAACTTTATTCTTTGGTTTTACTCGGGATGGATGATTAAGGGAATTTGGCTTTTGTGTTTCCTCATTTTTATACTCCTGTGTATGGAAGCTTGTTTCCGCCACAGAATGAAAAATAAAAAAGGTAATTGCGACTTTTTATCTCGCAATTCTGACTCAGAATTGCGAGATATAAACTCAGAATTGCATGATATAAAATCGCAATTGCATGTTATAAAGTCAGAATTGCGAGATATAAAGTCAGAATTTATTGATATAAAGTCGCAATTGCAGGTTATAAAGTCAGAATTGCGTGATATAAAGTCGCAATTGCGTGTTGTAAAGTCAGAATTGCGTGAAATAAAGTCGCAATTGCGTGTTATAAAGTCAGAATTGCGTGATATAAAGTCGAAATTGCGTGTTGTAAAGTCAGAATTGTGAGATATAAACTATTCTGAGGGAAAAAAAGTTAGTCTTTTTTCCCCCTTAGAATTGGCCTGATAACTCGCAATTGGGAATATACTTCAGAGATATTTTACTCTAAAAATTCTAGGGATGCCAATAATTGTGGCCAACATATTTTGGAGAAATTTTTTTTTTTCATAATGTGACCCCCCCCCCCCCCCACACACACACACACACACACTTTCAATTATTTTACTTCAATGAAAGATTAGATTTTTGCTTTTTTTTTTTTATGAAAGATGAAAAGAATAAACAATGCAGATTTATTTTTACAGCCATCTTTGATCATTTGCAGGGTTGCCAATAATTTTGACCACAACTGTACAGTGTATAAAGATTTTGCAGATGAGTGTTACCTGATTGTTTGATACTTTGAACAATGAGTGCTTTTACATGCTGGATCTTACACCGATTACAGCGTGTAAGGTCATGTAATGCCTTAAAGTCTTATAGTCTTCTTTAAACGGTTACATGTAATAAACTGCTTATTCAATGTGCAAAAGTCTTGTGCGTATTCTGAGGAGCTTGCAATATTGACCATTTTGGGCTGGACTATCTGTTTGAGTAAAAGATGGAACAAAATGCTTGAATGCCTAAAGCTTATTATTCATGACTGTTGAAGTTGTGGAAGAATCTACAGTATGTGCACCAATACGAGCTGCATTCAAACGAATTCTGTAGGAAACCCAGCATGGAGCCAGAAGCGCATTTATCATTCATGCCTGCATGAGTTCACATGTGCCGAGTTTACAGGACATTTGACACACAGGGCATGCATGTGCATGCATCTTTTATACACATAAATAAACCTGGTTTTTCTATGATTTATCGACCTGAATTGGAAGACAGATTAACGCCAGCATGGTGCCTCCCAGTATGCGATGTGTTCACACATGGTGCTTAGCAATGAACTATTCTTAACAGTGACATAATTCAAACCATGTCATTTTTTTTTTTACTCTTAAGCCTAAATGGAGCTCATCCTCTGACTGAACCACAATTAACCCTTATAAATCATCTATGTGTGAGAGAGATTTAATATTTATTGCTAAAAATAATTACAACAGTTTTGTATAGAATTTCAGACCCTATTTTGTATTCAGGGAAAGTGTCATTTCAAATTGTTCAAATAGTTTTCTATTAATCATCAATATAATAAACCCATTATATGAATTATGCTGCACGTTACGTTAAGTTACTCATTTACAAGTTCAGATGTGATTTGTTGCCGCTTCTAATAGAAATCAAGTCACTGAATTGTTGAACTTTTGACTTGTGAATGATTTTGCAGTTCTGCATATCACTACAAAATGCATCTCATTTTCTGTAACTGGGGTTCGGTATTCCTGAAGGATTTTAATCTAATTTAATTTCTGTTCAATCGAAGAGCTTAAAACAGATCTGTTTTAGCATATCTTTTTAACAGCCTTCTGAAGCAGTTCCTGGCAGTCTATTCAAAATTCATGTGGCTTCCTGGCCCACCATAACAAGCACATTAAAATTCTCTCTGACATATACTGTAGTTCTCCCAGTCACAAGAAAGATGCTAAATGCTTTGCAAAGATATGGTCAAAGTATTACAGACAATGTTAATTCAACAAAACAATTGTAGATCACAATTGTAATCTATCAAGATCTATCTATCTTTCTATCTATCTATACACTCACCGGCCACTTTATTAGGTACACCTGTCCAACTGCTCGTTAACACTTAATTTCTAAGCAGCCAATCACATGGCGGCAACTCAGTGCATTTAGGCGTGTAGACATGGTCAAGACAATCTCCTGCAGTTCAAACCGAGCATCAGTATGGGGAAGAAAGGTGATTTGAGTGACTTTGAACGTGGCATGATTGTTGGTGCCAGAAGGGCTGGTCTGAGTATTTCAGAAACTGCTAATCTACTGGGATTTTCACGCACAACCATCTCTAGGGTTTACAGAGAATGGTCCGAAAAAGAAAAAACATCCAGTGAGCGGCAGTTCTGTGGGCGGAAATGCCTTGTTGATGCCAGAGGTCAGAGGAGAATGGCCAGACTGGTTCGAGCTGATAGAAGGGCAACAGTGACTGAAATAACCACTCGTTACAACCGAGGTATGCAGCAAAGCATTTGTGAAGCCACAACACGCACAACCTTGAGGCGGATGGGCTACAACAGCAGAAGACTCCACCGGGTACCACTCATCTCCACTACAAATAGGAAAAAGAGGCTACAATTTGCAAGAGCTCACCAAAATTGAACAGTTGAAGACTGGAAAAATGTTGCCTGGTCTGATGAGTCTCGATTTCTGTTGAGACATTCAGATGTTAGAGTCAGAATTTGGCGTAAACAGAATGAGAACATGGAACCATCATGCCTTGTTACCACTGTGCAGGCTGGTGGTGGTGGTGTAATGGTGTGGGGGATGTTTTCCTGGCACACTTTAGGCCCCTTAGTGCCAATTGGGCATCGTTTAAATGCCACGGCCTACCTGAGCATTGTTTCTGACCATGTCCATCCCTTTATGGCCACCATGTACCCATCCTCTGATGGCTACTTCCACCATGTCACAAAGCTCTAATCATTTCAAATTGGTTTCTTGAACATGACAATGAGTTCACTGTACTAAAATGGCCTCCACAGTCACCAGATCTCAACCCAATAGAGCATCTTTGGGATGTGGTGGAACGGGAGATTCGCATCATGGATGTGCAGCCGACAAATCTGCGGCAACTGTGTGATGCCATCATGTCAATATGGACCAAACTCCCTGAGGAATGCTTCCAGCACCTTGTTGAATCTATGCCACGAAGAATTGAGGCAGTTCTGAAGGCAAAAGGGGGTCCAACCCGTTACTAGCATGGGGTACCTCATGGGGTAGACTCATCAGACCAGGCAATGACTTCCAATCTTCTATTTTCCAATTTTGGTGAGCCTATGTGATGTGAATTGTATCCTCGGTTTCCTGTTCTTATCTGACAGGAGTGACACCGGTGTGTCTTCTGCTGCTGTAGCTCTTCTGCTTCAAGGTTCGACGTATTGTGCGTTCAGAGATGCTCTTTTGCAAACTTTGGTTGTAAGTAACGAGTGGTTATTTGAGTTACTGTTGCCTTTCTATCAGCTCAAACCAGTCTAGCCATTCTCCTCTGGCATCAACAAGGCATTTTCGCCCACAGAGCTGCCGTTCACTGGATATTTTCTCTTTTTCAGACCATTCTCTGTAAACCCTAGAGATGGTTGTGCATGAAAAGACCAGTCCTTCTTCCACCATGCAACGTTCAAATCACTTAAAGAGACCAAGACTGGTTGCCCACTGAAGCAGGGTTGAGCCTGGTCAGTACCAGGATGGAAGACTTCCTGGGAAAATCATGTTGCTGCTGGAAGAGGTGTTAGTGAGGCCAGCAGGGGGAGCTCACCATAATGCCCCAGTGTAGTGATGGGGACACTGGACTGTAACAGCACCTTCATCGATTAGGGTTAGTATGTTAATGTTACAAACTGTGCTCCATTTTGTGTGATCAAAAGTCAGCGATTTTTAAAAGAAATGTATTTTTCCCCCAAATTTACTCCATAGTCTTACTGCATGTTAAAAGTGCATAACTAAGCACAATAAAATATTCTTCAAAGATATCATTGTGCAACTCATTCTGAACTCCACTGCACCATTGAGAACGGATGCATCTATGTTTAGTGAGGAGGAATTTCAGCTATGAGACAAAGGCAGTGGCAGCAGAGGACTGGTCACATGATCCAACAGCG